ATGTGCAAAATGTTAAGGTTAAAGTCTGTGCAGGATATAATTATGCACAACCCCTGAAACACAGTCTTCATGTAAACGAAAAGGCCAATCCGATACTCAACTCTAACGTTTTACAGGGAATTTACATTGTAGGCGTTAACAGCGCGTATGCGTTGACTGCACGAATGTGCGCGTGACATTATTTAAGTGTATGTACACTTCTGATGCTCTCCCTGTGTTGTCTATGGAGCAGTGTAGAGGACAGTACGGGCCAGAGGACTGATGTAGAGCAACACAAATTACATGCATGTGTTTGTCTGCATGGTCTCTGTGCGCTGGTTTGGCCAGACGCCAGACTTTATTTAAGAAAAAAAAAACATGTCCAGAATCGCTGTAAAACCTACTGCTCCTCCTGCTAATATTTAGATACAAGTGCTGTGTGTGTGTGTAGATGTGATCTAAAGCCAAGGACCACTAGAAAAATCATGTGATCGTGTGATTTCAATAGGAGACGCGTTGCTGCGCGCACAAAATTAGAAATCCATCCTAAATTAGGCGCAGCCTCGCGTCATACGTCATAGTAGTGCAAATATCCCCATTGGTTAAAGTGGAACAAAGTTACGCGCGTCTGCTGTGCGTATAACGCGTACGTGCTGTAACGCCTCCTGTGTAAATTAGCAGTTACTGTCACAGCGTCCTCGTGTAAACAGCACCTAGGACTATGACGAATCCTTACACTATTAGTCTACTTCATCCATTTAGAAGGTTCATTATCGCTTATTTTTGTTTAGGGTGTGGGGTGTTCCTTTTAATAAGCTAGTACTTTAAGATTAACAGATATTTTATTTGTCCCACAGTGAGGAAATTTCACTGTTGCATCATAAGTTACAGAACAGTAGGAATGTGAAAAGTATACATGTGTTATGTTCAAAGACGTTTTCTGCCTTGTAAAACCAAGGGTTGCCTCCAAATTAGTTTCGGCAATTCTTCTGATGAAATGCTGTCTTTCACAACCATGTGGCAGTTTGTGGAAAAACAGACAGACTAAATTGTTTTTATAAATAAAGCTGGCAGCCTGTGAATTTTTACTTGTTTTGATAAAATATGCCATATAAATAAAAGTGGATGAGATATATTTTAGAAGATATTTTAAACCAAAGTAAATATTCTCATTATCATGTTTAAGGGCCAAAAGTAGTGCATCTCATATCATCTTTAAAATGGCCGTGAGTGTGGGAAAATCTTCCATCTATGGCCACTCATTATCCCTTACCCCGAAGTCTGGCCTGTTATGTCTGAGTCTCTTTTAAGTTTATGATAAAAAGTGACTGAACTTTTGGGCACTGGTAACCACATATTAAAGATGAAGAAGATCCTCAGACGAGTTCATAAACATTAGAAGAAAGCCATCCGCACATGAGTCCAAAAGTCCAGAGGATGTGGAGTCATAGACAGTGTGTTATGTCACTGGGGATCCAGCAGAACTGTTCCCACGATCACAAGGGAAAAAAGGGAGAAAATGTTGTTGTGTCTTTAGGCACTAAAAGTTATTATGTGTATGAATTGTGTTTTGAAGACATGTGTCATTAACTTAAACTTTTAGGGAGAACCAATCAAAAATTGAATGTATATGAAAATAATTGACTGTCTCCACCGGAAGCCGCCTCAGTCCTGCACCGCACAGCCTCAGTCCTCGTTCTACAGCCTGAGTCCTGGATCTATATATATAGCCTGGCTATCCATTGGAGCGGACTCCTCTTTCATTTTGGGCCTCCCCAAGGTTTCTCATTCGTTCCCACTGGGTTTTTGAGTGGGTCCTTGCAGATGCAGGAGGGTCCAAGGACACTGGTGATGATCCAGGACACTTAAGGACATTTACGGACATTTATAAACATTTATGGACTTTGGTCATCCCGCCTAATATGGACCTATGGCTTCTATGTGTGTATTAGTATTGCATTTCCTGTGCTTGACCTGTTTGATTCTCTGATCAATGTTGGCAAATCAAATTTGCAAAGTCCTCGCAGACAACTGCTGTAGTGATTTAGGGCTATACAAATATAAATGTAATTTAATTGACAGTAGAGTGACAAAACACATTTTTATCAGAGGCGGGACTTCTGTAAAATTCCCCTCAAATACGTTTATTGTATTCAACTTAGGCTATAACAATATTTTAACAACATCAGTTTGTGAGAGATGGAGCAAAGAAAGTTGGGTTGGCAGTGACAATTTATTTAGTACATTTGATACACTAGAAGGATACAATCAAAGCATTCAATGAGAAGAGATTATACATACAGTATCATGTAAAAACAACATTATATTGGTTTCCATATAATGCAATTTGTCACTTTCATTCTTGATACTTCCAATGAAGACAACAAATTAAAACCTTTGCTTTCTATCTCATAAGTTCAGTTGAAAGTCTAAAGGGCTAATAATCACAAAGGAATTTGCTCTTTTACTTTTCAGAGGATTGAAGGAACAAGCTGTGTCCCGGTCAGACTGGTTCAGGACAGGGGACGGACATACAGTTTGTACTCCCTGTGGGACAGTGAGGGGACACAGCTTTTCACAGACATATCATTCGTTCAGCTCCCGTCAACTACTGAGCTGCTACTGGAAAACGTTTATTCATGGTTTATTCACAGTTGCTGGTCGTGGGTACTTTTGAGCAGTATTCTATTTAAAGTTCCTGATAACATAACTGCATCAGTGGGCCCTAATGTTGTCAATCTCATGACCACTGCTTAACATTTTTTCATACAGAAAATGCAACACAAAGTGCGTTACAGTTTGGTTAAAAACAGTCCCGCTCATGACCCCCTCTCCCGACCACCCAACAGACCCATGCCAAACCACATGTATCATTAAGAACGCACGTGCAGACAAACACACAAACACACTTTCACACCCACACACGCCAGTAAAACAGTAAAACCACGAAGAGAGAGACTTGGCAGGGTTCAGATGCAACCAGCTGAAAAAGCGACATCCAAGGAGCCGTCTGCAGCAGGAGCAGAGAGCTGCCCGCAGCCACAGGGGACTACACAGGACCCAGAGTAGACACGAAGCCAAGGCTCCAGGCCCCCACCAGGTCCAAGAGCCGGACCCCAGGACCCAGCAAATAAATGTTTTGACAAAGTAAAAAAATAAAAAAATAAACTTGTGCACACCGCACTGGGGTACTCTTGCACAGGTATTCCAATGTGGTTTTAATAAATTTAATTTACTTTTTATTTAACCAGAAAAATGCCACTGAGACTTCAGAATCTCTTTTCCATGGGAGTACAGGTCCCAGACGAGGTTGGATAATGAGAGTGGGAGGTTATGGAAACCGAAGCAGACACAGGGAGAACATGCAAATTCCATTCAGAAAGACATTGTATTTATGTAATTGAAAATAACGTTAAGTATTCCTGCGATACCCTTTGACCAGGATCTCTTTTTACTTTAAAGGTTGTGGATATATTTATCAAGGGTTAGTTTGAAAACATGAACTAAAACTGCAGACACTATTTTACTTAGAATAAAAAATAAGATTGGAGTTGTCTTTTCACATGATTGATTTCAGAGGCTGTGATTTGGTCTGCACATAATGCCATCCTACAAATGCCTTTATGAAAATATTGCATATAGCTTTAGTGCCATCTAAAGGTGAGTATGATCACATGCAGGTTGAGAAGTCCAATCATTTTCCAACAGTCACAAGTACGACCCCATCACAAAGATTACATAAGGCGTCTTTTAAGCGTTGAAAATTGTGTTGTTGTTGTTAACATGACGCAAGAAAAGTGTGTAATTTTACAAAGCCCACTTCATCTGTGTGCTTCTGACTGTGACTGAAGCTGGGACAAGCTTTGTGACCAGGACTATGTCTTGTATAAAAATGTTTAAAAACTATATATAATAATGATAATGATAATAATAACAATAATGATAATAATATAAATACAATGCTATCATTATTATGTTGAGTAGAACATATTAATATCAATGAGATCCAAGGGAAATATATATGTGTTAAACTGTAATTATGAAAAATGGTACGTATTAAACAAAGAGATGAATAATGTTTTTGTTCCATCCTGAGTTTTTGTACAATTTGAAATACCTTTTTTTTTTTGGTAAAAAATAATAAAATAAAATACATTTATTATTCGAGAATCTTTTTATGGACATTTCTTATTTATTTTTTTTCATTTTCATTTCTTATTTTTTGTGGCCCTTTTTTGCTCAGTCACCAGATTGAATGGGACTTTATTCTGACTCTACATTAAAAACGAAACTATTTATTTGATGCACTTATTAATCAAAATGATCAAAAGGCCTTGTTGATAGAGCTGCTAGTTCCAGTTCCACAGCTGTTTCTCTGGTGCGTACTGTCTGACCTATAAGATAAGATTTCCTTTATCCGTCCCACAGTGGGGTTAATTGACAGTAGTAAGGACAGTAGAAAGAGCACACAGAGAGCACAAAATGTCCACTAAACATACAATACAAGTAGCTGCAGCTTCAATATCAATATCAGTGGACATTCTGAAATTGCAGCGTTGCATATTGCACATGATTGTATTATTTACAGATAAATTACATGTTCAGGCTCAGCAGTTCTCATTGTACAACCAATGACATTGACTTGATTTGGCTCATTTCCTGTGAGGCAATGAAACTGAGGCAGTGTTTGAAAAAGCAGAGCAAAATCGACTTTAAGGTTTATTTTGCGTATGAGATTAAAGAGCATTTTAACTGCATGACAAAGTACAACATTTGCAAAAAGATACAAAAGATGCTAAACCAAACAAGATTAATACAATTGACCTTAGAGATCTGATTCCTTGAATAATATGTCTCACAATTGTCCCAAGTCTTATCCGTGGAGGTCAGAGTCCAATTCACTAGTATTGTGGCCCTGTGTAAAAAAATTCCTATTTTGCATAATACATTAATTTTAATCAAGAAGTGCAATAAAACAATTTTAATCCAGAATTTTTTTTTATTAAATCAACATTCTAGTGTCACATCTTGAGCTTGCTGAGGCCTTCACACAGCATGGCCAGGTACTGAGTGAGTTTGACCATGGCGACGAGCACTGAGCCCCCAATCAAAGAGCAGGTGGGCCAAAAGAGGGAGTGGAATACCGCCCCCTGGCTGTAGATCTGGGTAAGTATGGCCATATCCGTCCTCTCTGTGGGGTCCACAAAACACGGCACAGATTGAAGCGTCCGCAGCCGGTCGGAAATGTCCTGCACCAGCTCTCGAGTGGCGGAGTAGTCCTTGTGACACTTTGGGATGTAGAAACACTGTCAAAATAGGGCGAAGAGAAAGAATATGTTTAACCTCTTTAAATCCACCGGCGCGCCGGGGTCCGTGTACTTTTGCGTTCAATACATTTTAAATTTTTAAAGGGAAATGGATAATCGAAAAAAAGATATTTCGCATTTTCAGGCACACAGCAACATACAAAAATTGTTGTTGCTTATAAAACATAATTATAATAACCGGATTTGGGAACTAGAAAATGCAATAATTAACCTTTTTTAATGTGTATTTTACAAAATGTGAAAAAACGCATCTGCGCATGCGTCAGCCGGCGCAAGCTCCATTCATTTGAACGAGAGACTTAAAAAATTCACAGCAAGTAAAATAGAGTGGACCAAAACATTTCACCCCCCTCAGCATTGACACACATGTGGAACGGGGCTTTGGGCCAAGAGCCAACTTTTGGTCCATCCTGTAAAGACGTTTTTGAGAGGTCTGCCAACGCTATATGTTAGCATTGGCCAATTCTACTTCTGGGTCCACCCCCATTGGCCCGGGGTGGTATTGCAAGCATGTCAGCGCACGTCATTTTGGCCACTTTTGAGCCGGGACCCGCCCCCACTGGATCAGACTGATGGGTTGTGTTTGTGCGTTTACTTTGCACTCTGTCCTAATACAGACGTGTTGTTGCAGTCTTTACTATTTGTTGGCTCCCACTTATCTTAGCAGAGTAAGTGGTGCGTTCACGAGTAGTCCATACAAACTTTACTAAACATTACAGTCAGTATGGGCCAGAGAACTGTAGATCAGTAAAATGTTTGTCCTCATGGTTTCTGTGGCTGCTTTGTGGACTGCGTGAAGCGGGGAGACCTGCGCATGTGCAGCCGTTATAAGAGATGTCAGTGAAAATAGACGTCCTCCGTGATTATCACATTTTCAGGGGTCCATAGGTGATCCCATGCGAGTAAACAAACTTGTTTCACTTCCTGGTAATCGATTGACGCCGAAATGTATTAAATACATAATAAAAAAAGGTTAATTATTGCATTTTCTCGTCCCCAAATCCAGTTATTATAATATAAATGTCAATGAAAAAACCAAAATGGTCACTTTTGTATATTGCTGTGTGCCTGAAAATGCAAAATAGCCTTTTTTGGATTTTCCATTTCCCTTCAAAAATAGAAAATTTATTGAACGCAAAAGTACACAATAGCAGTTGTATTTTGAACACCGAACCCCAAAAGCTGTATGTCATTTAAAGCTTATTTTCTTATCTTCAATAATATACAAGTGTCAACAATATCCGACTTTGCGTTCAAAAGATATAACACATAATATGAGCACAAAATAAATCACTTCCGAAAAAGTTTTTTACCTTTGGGCTTGTGTTGCATAAATAAATCAACTCTCCTCCCGGCTTCCTATAGCTCTTTCTCTCTGGAACAGTCCATTGAAAAATAATATCTACTTGTATTTCCCAAAGTATAAACCATTCTGGAGAAATAATCCAAAAACGTGCATTTATCTTTACCGGAAAAAAAACGGAGAAAAAAAGAGCACAGAGGCTGTTGTTTCACTGTAAACGGACTTTTAGATTTGTTTTTCACCCAAACACATGGTATCCACGTGTGCCCCAGCTCGTTAGCTTCAAAATGAGACCTTCCATGAAAAATTTGCTTTTTTCAAGCCCCGGCGATCCAAGATGGCGCCCTATTCAAATGAATGGCTTGTGCTCAGTAGCGCATGGGACTTCACGGGGACCGGGAGATTAGCTGAACTCGCCTACATTTGGGCATCGTCTGTTCCTCCCGGTTCTGCGCAGTGGACGAGCTCCCATGATGCTTTGCTCCAAATACGCGTGTGTGGCTTTCATGCACGCGCACAGAGGGGCTCGGCCGCGCTCTGACCAATCAGAGCTGATCATCAGAGCAGCGGAAAGCGGAGCCAGAGCGGGAAGGAAAGGAGCAGAGTTTGTGGCAGTAAAGTGTGGATTTAAAGAAAACCGAAGGATTTAAGAAGAAAAAAAGTTTAGGATGACAAGGGACACTAAAATCCCCACAAAATCTGATCTTTATGAAAGCTGTAGGTTCTCTGTCAGCTGAGGTCAAGCTGTTTTAATATACATTGAGTTCTATGAGACTTTTTTCTGGGTAGCCCGCATGAATTTAGTCTGCAGTACCACGGGCGCCCCCTGTGCCCATGGGTGGGACAGCTTTAAGCTAGTGATACCCTATCCAGTCATTATTATAGATCCATGGCTTTTTTACGTCTGCAACAGCTCCCGTGAGTACATTTAGCTGCTTTGCGCAGGGGTGACTGATCTTTGTTGTCTTCTCTGCCAAGCCCCGGCAATCCAAGATGGCGCCCTATTCAAATGAATTGTTGTGCTCAGTGGCGTTTTGTGACGGCATGGGGGCTGAAAGATTAGTGGAAGTCGCCTGAAACTTGCAAAGAACTTTGGGAAACTCGCCTGTATTTGGGCATCGTCTGGTCCTCCCGGTTCTGCGCAGTGGATGATCTCCCATAATGCGTTGCGCCAAATACACGTGTGTGGGTCTCACACCGGGTCTCACGCACGTGCACAGAGGGGCTCGGCCGCGCTCTGACCAATCAGAGCAGTTCATCAGAGCGGGACTTAGAGCGAGAGCCAGACGAGCAGAGTTTGTGGCACTAAAGTGTAGATTTAAAGAAAACCGAAGGATTTAAGAAGAAAAAAAGTTCAGGATGACAAGGGACACTAAAATCCCCACAAAATCCGCTATAGGTTCTCTGTCAGCTGAGGTTGAGCTGTTTTAATATACATTGAGTTCTATGGGGAACATTTCTGGAAAGCCCACATGAATTTAGTCTGGTTCAGTCTGCAGTACAGCGAGAATCCCCCGAGCACATGAGTTATTCAGCTACAAGCTAGTAATACCCTATCCAGTTATTATAATAGATCCATGTTCTCTACTTCTTTGCATCTATTTCCTGGCCATTTGATTGACATGTGCGTGTAGCCAATGAGGAAAGCTTTCTAGCAAGGGGTGGGACAAAGGTGTACTGTCTTATTTTGTGCCAGTAGAATTGTTTATAATGGCAGTCAAAAGACGCTCTCGAAGCCGCAATAAATTCATAAAAAATTAACTTTGACATAAAAATAAAAAAACACTTAGATTAGTAACTTATAAGTACCAATGATAAAAAATGTAGTTTTTATGATGATTAAACATCAGTAAAGCAATTTGGCACAATTTCTAAAGGCCTTTAGGCTTTTTTAGGGCCTTTAGAAATTGGAAATTTTAGGCGAGGCTAAAAATTTTTTTTTTTTTCCCAAACTTCAAAGGATGCAGAGTGAAATAGGAATGACAAACATTATTTTAGTATATATTTACATAAACTAGAAGGCTCTAGCTTTAATATGATGCATCACACAAGCATGTGACATGTAAGATGTGTTTTTAAATAAGCAAAGACATTTGGGAATGCCCAACTTTTGTGCACAAGCCAAAATGAGGCGGATGTTACAGATACATGGGGATAAACAGTTGAGATATCTAAATATTTTCATTTTCAGTTGAGAAAATTTGCTTGTAAAATCACATATATATCACAAAAGCTGATGTTTATATTAGAAAGGTATTATTGTTTATGATGAGAAGAGAATGAGAGTCATCTGTCAAATCAAATCAGAAAAGAATAATGAAGCATACACTTGTGCATGTAAGTAAACTAGAAAGTCAGCATTATGTTTGGGCTAATGAACTGATTCTTTTTTTGACTTGCATTTTCATTTCTTTTTTGTGATCAATTGTGTTACATTGTATTTACATGTTTGCATTGGTTGACATGCACACATTACTATTTGTCCTCTTTTTGTTCCCCCACATCCCCTTTTCCCTTGTGATGGGCAGAAAAGATGAAAAAAGATACAAATAAAAATAATTAATCAAAAAAGTTTCAAGACATATAAAAATAATGAGTAATTAATCAAAAAACAAAATAAAGATAAAAACATAAATGGGCTTGTTCACAATAAAGGGCACAAAAGATTTTTTTTATTTTTTTTATTTTAATAATCAGAAGATATTTTATGTTTTTTGTGTTTCCAAGCACCTCCTCTGTCCATTATAAGTTGCTAGAACATAACTGTTTTATAAATTAGACAAGTTTCCTATAGCGGCCCTGTTTATTTTATGTAACGGACGTGATGATTTGACGGAATGAGCTGCGGAAGTTTGTTATGTATTTTCAGATGTCCACATTTGATTCAGAGATTCTATTTTTTTACACAAAGTAGATGCAAAGTGATACTTTCATATTTTCAAGCAATTAAATGTGAAAACAGACCAGATTTTTTTTTCTCAAGTTTAATTTTTAGAGAAAAGAGGACCTTGCCTTGCCTTGCCGTCCTCATCACGTCCGTTATACATTTTTCAAGGGTCATTTAATTAATTAATTAATTTTTATTTTTTTACGATTCCTTTTTTTATCAAGTGATTCCCTTCTGTTGTGTTAACCATCTAAATCTTGTGGGATTTCATCTTCTGCTTTTTCAGACTGAGGACATTTTATTTTTTATGTAACTGGCGTCACAGTAGAATGGTCCAATCAGAGGCTGATTTGGTCGTTTAAAATTTTGCTAAACATTTTTATGTCAATCTTTCCTTTAGATTTTTTCCACACTATCTCTTCAATTTGTCTGTGTTTGAAATCTTTTTTTCCAATCTATGAAAGTAATTTTAGTTTTTAAGTTATAACCTTTTAAAGTCCAGATACTTCAACTGTCACTTTACTGTGAACACACTGAATTCACAAGTCTTTGTATATAGTGTATTTATACAATATATACTTTTGTTTGGAAAGATAAAGCCACAATACCTCTGAGTTTTCATGGTGTGTGTCCTCGTTGTGCAGCAGGCGCAGGATCCTATTGGAGCCGTTCTTCTGCAGGCTCACGTAGACCTGCAGACACGGGTATCTGGACGACTTCCAGCACTCGGCTCCACAGTGGTACGAACAGTTGACGTCCCACAGAATGGTGGCGTTCAGCACGGTGCAGTTAGCCTCCTCTGTCCATATACTGTCACACAAACATTTTACCAATGAAGTGTTTTTCCTTCAGCTGGTGTTTTAAACTTCTTCACAAATGTAATTGTTTGGCAAATAACTATAACTGGCCCACTTTAAGTGAACTCCGGTTCGGAATCAACATTCTCTCAGTTCAGTATATATGAATCTTGTGAATGGAGTCTCCCTTATTAAAGTCAAACCCTTACCTTTCAGAGTAGGACCTGATGACAGTGATGCCCATGACAAAGTAGGTCATGACAGAGAAGAACATCATGCTGAGTCCGAGCAGGATGGCCCGGTCCTCCCCGGCCCGCAGAGCCGTCACCGTCTTCTTCTTGTCCAGCAGCTCGTACTCCCGCAGCCGCTGGTACAGGGATCTGACACATAACAAACCTCTGGATATGAACTCCATATAACATTCTATGAGAGCATTTTCTTTTTTAGATTTGAAAGAGGTGAAAAGATTTTAAAGTATTTTTTTCATAGATTGTTAAGCAATTCACAGGTGGCTATCAAAATTCATACTTGGATTCACTTTTTCCATCTTTTCCTCCTGACCACAGGTACATGTTTTCAGATGAGGCCTTTGGGACTGGAGTATTGCTCCTAGAGTTCACCCACCTGCAACGACAAATAAAGTAAATGTAGCTAGAGGTAAAATTCAAAGCCTGAAAGGCTGTTATCCTCAATTTCTCCAGTGGGCGCTATCCCCTGGGTCGTTACTAGATCATATACGGAATCGGGACGAAAGCGGAAGAAACAATCCTACTTTCAAATTAGTTTTAGACTAATAAGTCCTTAAGTGGTGACTGGTTAAGTTTTAGGTGTCTGATTAAGATGGTTAAGGTTAGGGTTAAGGGTGGGTTGGGGTTATTTTTTGGGAATGGCTGGTTAAGTTTAGGCATGAATAGGTAGTTTGTTATATTTACTTCCGCTTCCGTCCCGATTCCGTATATGATCTAGTGCAGACCCTATCCCCTGCCCTCACCTCAGTTATGCACCTACTGTCACACTTGTGTCTCAACCAATCAGCAATCAGCCTTCACCTGCTTGGATTTAAACAGTACCTCACCTTTGTGCTTTCAGTTATTAGCTTGTGCTACCACCCTCCTCCTCATCTACAGTGGGACGATCTCTTTCCACATAATTGGCTCATCACTTCAGCTCACCACCATGAACGTCTGGAGCCCGAGAGGATTTAATTTTCAAAAAATTGTTGCAGTTATTTTGTCCAAAATTAGAGTAGGACAAATAGACTGTTAACTCATTGTAACGTATGTAACTTATTCTGCTAATGCTTGTGAATGTGCTCCAAATGACACAATGACACGGATGACACAATAATCTATGTGGCGGCAGACACCTCTCAACAGGCCTCAGAAACATTAAACAGACAGTTAAGTGAAGTATCAACATGGGTTGAAAATAACTGTTTAACTCTGAACTATGATAAAACTGTCTCAATGTGTTTTTCTCTGAAGAAACAATCACTCAATGAAATTGAGGTCAGCGAAAATCAACATAAAATAAAACAAGTTAAGGAGTTTAAATACCTGGGTGTTATTTTGGACCCCAAGTTAAGTTTTGATCGGCATGTTAAAAAAATGACTAAGACCCATCCATCCATCCATCCATCCATCCATTTTCTGCCCTTTAATCCATTTCTGGGTCAGGGGGGTGGCAGTCAGAGATGCCACCCAAGTCTCATAGCACCAGCCCCTCACTGACCCTCTGCAGGTGGTGAGTCCACAGGAGGACGGCTGCTCTCTGAGTGTGAGCATAGCCTTGATCTTTCAGCGGGGGCTTTGGGCAAAGTGGGGTTAAGTGTCTTGCCCAAGGACACAACGACAGCAGTCATCAGTGGGAGTCGGTGGAGAAGGTGCAGAGGTGGGAAGACCAAGAAATATAAATTGTTTCAGGTTGATTAGACCCTGCTTATCAGTTCAAGCTGCACGAGTTTACATGCATGCTATGATTTTATCTCACATGTCTTATTGTGCCATTGTCTGGGGTCAGGCCACAAAGTCTGTAGTGAAGGTGGAGAAGGTGCAGAGGTGGGAAGACCAAGAAATATAAATTGTTTCAGGTTGATTAGACCCTGCTTATCAGTTCAAGCTGCACGAGTTTACATGCATGCTATGATTTTATCTCACATGTCTTATTGTGCCATTGTCTGGGGTCAGGCCACAAAGTCTGTAGTGAAGCCTTTGTTATCATTATATAAACAAACACTCAAAATATATGATCGAAAGCCAATGAAGCATCATCACTGCCAAATTACTGAAAAATACATCATGATGAGTTTTGATAATTTTATACCTTTTACCTTTTTAAAAGCTTTGTTTAAGTGTCTTAATGGATTAGCCCCTGAAGTAATGTGTAAAAACATCCAAAGGTGCAGCAGTGAGGGTGTGCAGACTCGAGCTGCAGTCAGTGGGAGCTGCAGAGTGAGAAGGTGCCGGACGACTCTGGGTCAGTCTGCATTCTCAGTGAAGGCCTCACATCTGTGGAACTCTTTGCCGCTGGAGCTGAAGTCACAGTCGGACACTAGACTTTTCTCCACTAAACTGAAAAAGTGGCTTAAGGAAAATCAGAAGTGTGAGCACTAAACTTGAATGTAGTATGGACAAATGGGGTCAGTTATTTTTATTGATGTGTGGTTGTTCTTTTCTCCCCTTTTTTAAAAACTTGTTTCTTCGCTTTTTCCAAAAGCCTAACCAGGGACGGGGGCTGCAAATTAGCCTTTGGCTAGAAGCCTTGTGTACTTCACATCAGTTACCTGTGGGTGACAATGTTTTTTTGTACTGTCCCTGTCAAATAAATAAATAAATAAAAAATTTAAAAAATTTAAAAATAAAGTGCTACTCTTAAATCACAATTCATTCACTCCACACTCAGTGGTGACGACCTGTTGGTTTTTTCAGAATGCTTCAAGGAAACCAACCAGACAGACTTCACACAGAATGGTCCAATCTGGTCTGGGTATAAAAAGTGTGTGCTTTCTGTGAGGCCAAAGCAATACCCACGCAGCCATCATACATTCAAGATTCAAGATTATTTTATTATGTACCGTAGGAAATTTGTCTTGGACTAACAGGCTGCTACATTGAAAATACACAAAATACATGCAATTCGGACATCATGGCAACCTCGTAGAGTTGGCATGATTGAAGTCAGTGCGACCCTTGGTCAAAATGACCCTAACCCTTAAAAGTAGAAGAGAAAAAGCTTGAAAGGGTCTAAATGATCCAAGGCTGGTTAAGTTATGAGAAGTCATCAAAATTCAGCTTGAAAAAAGTTTATATATTTAGGATATTTTGTAATCACTGTGGCAGGTCAATTTGACGCAAGGGTAGAACAAGAGTTAATTTCGATTTCATAGATAAATAGATAGATAAATAATACCTTAATACAATACTATACAATGCAAGGATTGTCATATTGTCTTTTCTTTTTAGAAATGAATTGTTCCAATTTAAGGAATGGTACCAGGGCTTTAACAGTGCTGGGTTAGGGTTTCTCCTTGCTAAAAGAGAAGGCAGGCGTTTCCACAACAAAAACATGCTTAAACTTCTGAACTTCTATGTATGAGGTGTTGGTCTATCAAGTTTCAAAACTTAAAAACAAGATTTTGTAGAAAAACCTAATCTATTGGAGGAGTTGAGCGAGGACCAGGCCTGACCTCATGTCCACACTGCACTGAGCCATTCCTGTCTCTGCTTTACGACTTTGTCTAACCGCTCTCTGTCATCAGCCTTCTGCATGAAATAAGATGCATGTTCCACTTGTTACTGTACTGTATGCTGAGTATGTCTCACTGACAACAGGTGAACATGGACCTGACACCGCCGCCCACAGCTAAGAGTGTGGCTGCAAAACTATATTTTTTTCATCTATATGAAATTGTTGTGCATTTTTTCCATGCACTGTGCCCGCATCAAATGCAAATGATTGTTGTTTTAAGCCTCACTTTAAACTTCTTTTGAAATCAGCTGGCAAAACCTGAACATTGCACACTCTGTCTACAACCATCGGTTTGTATTCATTTGGAATTTGCAGACTATGGACCAGAATCAGCCTGTTTTGGAAATCTTAAATATGAGTACAATACAAACAGTTCAATGTTGTGTCACTTGTATTTCTTGGTACTGTGGAGGATGATTCCACCAGTTGTTTTGACAATAATTATCCATATACTGTATGAATTAAGACTTACATTGGGAAGTGGCCGTTGAGGACTTATTATTATAATATGTTTTCCCTTCTCCTAAATGTACTCTAAATGTATACTCTAAACGTGCACATAGTTCTGTTTCTGCTTTTCACGCATGTAGAACATTTTCAGACAGAAAAGTTAAAAAGGGACCATCCTCTGTCCAAAGAGAGGCTCCCAGGGCTCAATCTTGTACGTATAATGAGATGATGTTTTAAGTTGACCATAACTGTTTGAAGTAGCTTTCTCATCCCAAGATGTCACCTAAATACAGTATTTGTCTCAACATAATGGGAAGCCTTTACTTTACCTCTGTAATGACTTAAGTAGTTAGGTGTGGGATTAGATAAATCTTCCCACTCTTTGAGCAAACATAAGTGTTATAATTATTGATTTATTATTTAACCTCTATTTAACCAGGAAAAGTCCCATTGAGATTAATAACCTATATTTCAAGGGAGTTCTGGCCAAGAGGCAGCAAAGTTACACATAAACACAACATACGGGCAACAGTGGCTCAGTTGGTAGAGCATTGGCCTTTAAGCCCGAAGGTCGAGGCCCACCACAAGACCTTCTCCACCGACTCCCACTGATGTCTGCTGTCGTTGAGTCCTTGAGCAAGACACTTAAGCCACTTTGCCTATATGAAGCGCAGAAGTAATGTTTGCTGTTTGCCTTGATGTGTATGTGTATGCATCAAACTGTCCCCATTGTGGGACGAATAAAGGACCTTCTTCTTCTACAGATAAAATTACATTAAAAACGACAGGGATATAGCCTAAACACATCAAGTAAAACATTTACAGGTAATTAAGGCTGTTTCAAAAACTCTGAGTTTTGATTTAAAAGCATGATGTTCATAATATACCTATGTTTCTTGTGATTAATCGTTGCTTATTACTTGCTCAAAATAGATAATAATAATTTCCATCCATCCATCCATCCATCCATTTTCTTCCGCTTTATCCGCTGCCGGGTCGCGGGGGCAGCAGTCTAAGCAGAGACGCCCAGACTTCCCTATCCACACACACTTCCTCCAGCTCGTCCGGGGGGACCCCAAGGCGTTCCCAGGCCAGCTGAGAGACATAGTCTCTCCAGCGTGTCCTGGGTCTTCCCCGGGGCCTCCTCCCGGTGGGACGTGCCCGGAACACCTCCCCAGGAAGGCGTCCAGGAGGCATCCTGAACAGATGCCCGAGCCACCTCAACTGGTTCCTCTCGACGTGGAGAAGCAGCGGCTCTACTCCGAGCTCCTCCCGTGTGACCGAGCTCCTCACCCTATCTCTAAGGGAGCGCCCAGCCACTCTGCGGAGGAAGCTCATTTCGACCGCTTGTATCCGCGATCTCGTTCTTTCGGTCATTACCCACAGTTCATGACCATAGGTGAGGGAGGGAACAAAGATTGACCGGTAAATCGAGAGCTTCGCCTTTCGGCCCAGCTCCCTCTTCACCACAACGGTCCGATACAACGACCGCATCACTGCGCACGCTGCACCGATCCGCCTGTCAATCTCACGCTCCATCCTCCCTTCACTCGTGAACAAGACCCCGAGATACTTGAACTCCTCCACTTGAGGAAGGACCTCTCCACCCACCTGAAGAGGGCAAGGCACCTTTTTCCGGTCGAGCACCATGGCCTCGGATTTGGAGGTGCTGATTCTCATCCCAGCCGCTTCGCACTCGGCTGCAAACCGTGCCAGTGCATGCTGCAGGTCCTGGTTCGTTGGAGCCAGCAGGACGACATCATCCGCAAAAAGTAGAGATGAAATCCTGTGGTTCCCGAACCGGACCCCCTCCGGCCCCTGGCTGCGCCTAGAAATTCTGTCCATAAATACAGTGAACAGAACCGGTGACAAAGGGCAGCCTTGGCGGAGGCCAACATGCACCGGGAACAGGTCTGACTTACTGCCGGCAATGCGAACACAGCTCTGACTCCGGTCATACAGGGACCGGACGGCCCTCAACAGAGGACCCCGGACCCCGTACTCCCGGAGGACCCCCCAAAGGACACCCCGGGGAACACGGTCGAACGCCTTCTCCAAATCCACAAAGCACATGTGGACAGGTTGGGCGAACTCCCATGAACCCTCGAGTATCCGATGGAGAGTATAGAGCTGGTCCAGTGTTCCGCGACCGGGACGAAAACCACACTGCTCCTCCTGAATCCGAGATTCGACCATTGGACGTAGCCTCCTCTCCAGTACCTTGGAGTAGACCTTACCGGGGAGGCTGAGGAGTGTGATCCCACGATAATTGGAACACACCATCCGGTCCCCCTTCTTGTAGAGAGGGACCACCACCCCGGTCTGCCACTCCATTGGCACCGCCCCCGATCGCCACGCGAAGCTGCAGAGACGTGTCAGCCAAGACAGTCCTACAACATCCAGAGACTTTAGATAGTCAGGACGGATCTCATCCACTCCCGGCGCCTTGCCACCATGGAGGCTGCCAACCACCTTGGTGACCTCGGCCAGGGAGATGGAAGTATCCGCCCCAACATCCTCAGCCTCTGCCTCCTGGACGGAGGACGTGACGGGGGGATTGAGGAGAACCTTGAAGTATTCCTTCCACCGCCCGACAATATCCCCAGTCAAGGTCAGCAGCCCTCCACCCGCACCATACACGGTGTTGGCAAAGAACTGCTTCCCCCTCCTGAGGCGCCGGACGGTTTGCCAGAACCTCTTCGAGGCCGACCGATAGTCATGCTCCATGGACTCTCCGAACTCCTCCCAGTCCCGGGTTTTTGCCTCTGCAACAGCCCGGGCCGCGGCACGTTTGGTCTGCCGGTACTGGACAGCTGCCTCAGGAGTCCCACGAACCATCATTGCTCGATAGGACTCCTTCTTCAGCCTGACGGCATCCCTTACTGCCGGTGTCCACCACCGGGTTCGGGGATTGCCGCCGGGACCAGCACCAGAGACCTTGCGACCACAGCTACGAGCCGCCGCATTGGCGATAGAGGAAGAGAACATGGTCCACTCGGACTCGATGTCCCCCTCCTCTGCCGGGACCTGGGAGAAGCTCTCCCGGAGGTGTGAGTTGAAAGTCCGTCTGACAGGGGGCTCAGCAAGACGTTCCCAGCAAACCCTCACTACACGCTTGGGCCTGCCAGGTCTGACCGGCCTCCTGCCCTGCCAGCGGATCCAACTCACGACCAGGTGATGATCGGTTGACAGCTCCGCCCCTCTCTTCACCCGAGTGTCCGAGACACGCGGTCGAAGGTCAGATGATACGACAACAAAGTCGATCATCGACCTCCGGCCTAGGGTGTCCTGGTGCCACGTGCACTGATGGACACCCTTGTGCTCGAACATGGTGTTCGTGATGGACAGGCCGTGACTGGCACAGAAGTCCAACAACTGCAACACCGCTCGGGTTCAGATCAGGGGGGCCGTTCTTCCCGATCACCCCTCTCCAAGTGTCACTGGCATTTCCCACATGGGCGTTGAAGTCCCCCAGGAGAATAACGGAGTCCCCGGGCGGTGCACTGTCCAGTACCCCTCCCAAGGACTCCAAGAAGGCCGGGTACTCTGCACTACCGTTAGGCCCGTAGGCCGTCACAAACAGTGAGAGACTTGTCCCCCACCCGGAGGCGGAGGGACGCGACCCTCTCATTCACCGGGGAGAACTCCAACACATGGCGGCTGAGATGGGGGGCAATGAGTATGGCCACCCCAGCTCGCCGCCTCTCCCCGCGGGAAACACCAGAAAAGTGGAGCGTCCAACCCCTCTCAAGGAGTTGGGTTCCAGAGCCCAAGCTGTGTGTGGAGGTGAGGCCGACTATCTCTAGTCGGTATCGCTCAACCTCCCCCACAAGCTCGGGCTCCTTCCCCCCCAGTGAGGTGACGTTCCACGTCCCAAGAGCCAGATGTTGGGTGTGTGGACTGGGTCGTCGAGGTCTCTGCCTTCGACTGCTGCCCAGTCCTCTCTGCACCTCGCCACCACGGACCCCTCTGCAGGTGGTGGGCCCACAGGAGGGACTGCCCACGTCATCCCTTCGGGCTGAGCCCGGCCGGGCCCCGTGGGCTAAGGCCCGGCCACCAGGCGCTCGCTTGCGAGCCCCGACCCCAGGCCTGGCTCCAGGGTGGGGCCCCGGCTGCGCCATGCCGGGCGACGTCACGGTTCTCATTGTCGTGCTGTCCATGGTTGGCTTCGGACTGCGCTTCGTCTGACTCGTCACTTGAGACCTGTCTGCCATGGGAGACCCTACCAGGGGCATGAAGCCCAGACAGCATAGCTCCCAGGATCATCCGAGTGCTCAAACTCCCCCACCACGTTAAGGTGGCAGTCCAAGGGGGAGTAATAATAATTTAAAAAATGAAAACATTCAGAATTCTGGGTGCAGTTTTCCATCATGGTAAACAAAATAAATTAAAATGCACTTATACTGTGATTCAAATCTTCTCATTCATTATAGAAATTCCAGAATAAACCTACCAGAAAAGCTGCTTATTCAACGTGTTAACGGGTGAAACTGGCTCAAACATAGACATAGTTC